CTTATACTTATACTTATACTTATACTTAAACTTATACTTATACTTATACTTATACTTATACTTATACTTATACTTATACTTATACTTATACTTATACTTATACTTATACTTATACTTATACTTATTTATTAGTTTACACTAATGACTAATTCAACATATTTATTCTTTAGCAGAGTACTTGAAGAAGCGATACAAGATATCAGAACAGAGTTAAGAGAAATAATACTTACAAGGTTATTACATGTACATATGCCGGTTTTATTGCTGTTATGGCCAATATGTGAGGTGTACTACGAGAAAAATAAACATGACTTAAAGACGCATAAGCACGTATATGGCTTGAAGTGAATACCGTTGAAATCTGGGAAATATAAAGTTCAAGGATACCTGCATTACAAACAGGAAGCGATTAGATCGAGAGAGTAAAGTCCGTCACATACTTCGAATCATATATTAACGAAAACAATAATAGGAAAAAAGAAAATAATTTTCTTTAATAGTTGGCTACGTAACATTGTCATAAAATTAGATCTTTCTTTTCCGGCTGAAGCATGGGCGCTGTCCGTAGATCACAATTTCGAATAAAACCTGAAAGGCGAATTCTTATGGCATGTCGAAATTTATTAGTTATACGGCGAAGCAGATGTTATAATAGACATCAAAACATCATGATCATAATTATCAGTAAATACCGTCATAGATGTGAATTTGTTATGAAGACACCCTTCACCGAAAGCCAGGAGTTTAGGCTCTATTAAATATGTAATGGTGTGTAATATTTTTAATTTTTTAACATATTTCTAATAATAATACCTTTAATAAATAAATCTTTTTGTTTAATTTAATGATAAATTCGAATCATATATAGAAAATAAATGAAGTGAAAAGTATATTTCTTTAACTTTAATAAAATAAAATGAATTATTTGGAAAATATTCAATAAATTTTTTTACATAAAGTCTTTATTACTTACAGAGCCTGATATATGGCCATTTAAAAATTAATTTAAAATTAAAGTTTTCAACACTGTATGAGTCCGTATATTGGATATATTTATTTTAAAAAAGAAGCTCAGAAATAAGTGTCAGTCAAATTGAAAATGATGAAGTCAGAAGCCGTACGCAATAGTTTAAATGCATGTGGGTTATTTCACATCACATGGTATCGACCTGGCATCAGTTTTGTATAATTTAATTTACTGTTAAATAAATGCACTGTACTTTAAAAAAAAATTCACATATATCTTGCGAAATAAACATTATTTAATTATAATGCCACTTAAGATTTGTTTAGAAAAGAAAATCTAACATGTCAATATTCATTCAAAATATTTAGTAATCCATCTATCCATACATCTTTAACACTCAAATTTTAAACATAGTGTCATTAATTTTAATCACATTGGCTCAGTTTTTTGAAAAAAATTTAGATATTCATTAGATAATTTTAAAAGTCATTTAAAAACTGATATTTATTCAAGAAGTTTCGTTTTTACTGCTAGAATGGAGGACTTAGCTGCACCTGTCGAGGAAGATTTCTTTGTATGTGTTTTTCTTACTTTAACTTGAATCACTATTATTAGTAGGTAATTATTTCAAATTTTTTATATTGTAGACAACTCTGGTTCGGAAGCATATGCCCACTACACAACGTATTATGCAGAAGGCTAAGGGCTGCTTAATCTACAATGCCAAAACCGCTGAATCGGTATACTCCACTTATCATGACAATACCGAGGATCTGGCTAGCAATGTTTGCGATATGTTGGTTTGTATTGCGCGTAATGCTGTCCGTGAAGTCAATCCAATTGATGAGTTGCGCTTCCTTCGCATTGCCACTAAAGACTACGAGTTTTTGATTGCACCAACTGATGAATTTGTTATTCTCGTTGAGCAACTTGATCCCTCCAAACAACCAGTTGCAGCGACTCCAAATGCTGGTAAGAAGAAAAAGCCCAAGTAGCAGTTTGGTATTTCTGGTGATGCCTCGTGTGCAGATTGTGTTGTATGTGTTATACTGTAACTTATATCTTATATAAGTTATATTAACATAAATATATTTTGATTAAAAATATGAATTGATTGACCAGATCTTAAGCAATGAGGCTTACACAGGTAAGTTTTATTCCATAATCAAAATTTTAGCGCTAAATACTATAGTGGAGGTTAAAGCTTATAGTTTATAGTTTATTTTATATATAATTCAGGGAGGGAATTCTAGTTTAGTCTGTCAATTTTTTAAAAAAGAGAATTGAATTTATTGGTGGTTTGTTTATAGATATTATAGTTTTGTTTTTTTCACAATATCAATTTTTTATACCGACGTAAAACTAAAGGGTTATACTTTGTAGCAGCTAATACCTAATGTTCAATCTTTACCGCAGAAATATAATATGGTTTCTAATATCGAACATTGGCTTGGTTATATGTTAATTGAGCCCCCTAGTAAAATGAACATACATAACTCTAATGCTTGCGGGAAGCACTTTTTTAACTGATATAACGTGACATTTTTGCATATTTTGCGGTGGCATTTGAAACATAAGCCATGCAAATCATATTATCTCTCTCAATACAAACACAAACAGTAGAAGATACATACACAAACACCCAGAAAATTTATGTAATCATCTCTTAGTTTCAAATTCACAGACATTTTTATGTAAATATATCTGTTGAATTTGTGAAATTCACGTTTTTCAAATATCTACACGACGAAAAGTGTCCTACTCTTTGACTCAACTACAGATACGAATATGCTTGGATCTACTCACATAAACAGGGTGTTTCTTGTGAAATAACAAAAAAGAAAAATCGGCAGTGATTGCTTTACAAATGGTTGTAGTAACAGTAACCTTCCCTGATATCGAAGGCGTTTTCAATAATATTCTATCGAAAGCTATTACAGACGTACTGATAGATGCTGTCATGGACGTTTAAATGATTGACATTATTGATTTGATGTTACAAAGCAGGACAGTGAATACAGAAATGGGTGCAATGCATACATTGCTATATTGATGGAAAATAGAATATTTCCATCAATAGACAAATACTTGAGGCACTACTTTCAAATGTGTTAAAAAATGGAAATGAAGTGTTGCAAAACAACACTACAACTAACAGCACCCAATAATAGAGTGGTCCATTGCACCATTAGTTTTAAATCCAATATATGTAGTCTTGTGGTGCATAAATTTTAGGTTGCCAGTGCAATCAACATGAACTCAAAATAAAATTCTTCCCAACGCTTGTTCATAAAAAAGTTATTTACCAAAAAATTAATATTTCACCAGTTGCTAAGAACATAGAAGGAGAAGTGGAAGCTCTTATTAATTGGCTCTAAAGGATGTAAATCAAAAAGTAGGTCTCTCAATATCACTCCGTTGACTTCATCAAAAGAAGCCAATGGATATAATTATCTTATAACTTAAAATAGGAGTTTTAAAGATCTCTCAGTAAAAATATATAATGCCATCAAAGACAAAAGGAAGATTGAAAGGAAAGGAAGACTGTTTGGGAATGATGTCAAAGGTAAAAAACCTTATCATGTCATTCGAAGAAGTTTACTAAAACATGAAACTTCTTATATAGCTGCCCGGCTCCAGCTAAAAGCAGGGTAAATGATTATAGCTTCTCCCAAACGGTCTTCCTTTCAAAAGGATTTCTTTCCCTTTTTAAATATTTTTTTAAATCTTTCTTTTAGCTTTGCGTAAGCTAGAATCATTTACCCTGTTTAACTTTCTCATAGTGGTGTCTAGTAGTAAAATTAAAAAACTTCCTACGGTGTATAAGAATCTGAAAATGATTCCATATATAATACAGCTGAAGGTCTGTGTTAAGCAGTGGCAGTTTAATGGACCCATAGAGTCTATGGGAGTTGGCGAATTATATTAGATCGACAGTGTCATTAATCTAACCTAATAACGTGAAATTTGTATCTCTTAAAAAAAATTTTATTAAAAGCTTCTCATATCTAGGTGAAAAATAGATTGCAAATTTAAGCTTAGCAGACCCAAATTGATCTTGAACCGTTGAAAAATAAAAAAGAGATCTTATATTGATTGCACAGTGCTATTAATTGTTATTGTTGTTGTAAGTGTTTTTAAATGTTATTTCATTGTAATATTAAACAATCATCAGATAATCAGACAATGATAATTTTATCACCATACTAAATTATTAGATAACTGGATATTTTCTTACAATTTTAAATTATTAGATGAGCGCTATTTTTGCTTCTTCCTTTTTTCTTTCTTCGGCATCTAAACTACAACTGTTGGTATTGACAGAGGTCAAAGGTATGTTCTTGATTGCAATCGCTTGTGGTTGCCACCAGATTGTTATTCAAAACTTATTATTATTAATATTAATAGTCTTTCGAATTATTAACTAAAACAGGAAATTAGCACTTGAAACTAAAAAATTTGACAGAAGCGTAAAATATTTTTGTTGACATAATACAGTTTAAGTGTATGAAAATTGGAAAATAAATATTTGCGGGGCATGAGGTTACTTGAAAGAAAGAACCGAGAAAAAGTATTAATTTTAGATCTATTAATTTTTCAAGTCCGTCCACAAAGAAAGGTAAGCTTAAATTTAATTAAACTTTTTTAGATTCCTAAAAGGAATTATAATTCTGTGCTATATGAATGGGACCCTATGGACTTACAAAATGGCGCTTTTAACAATAGCAACTAATATTCTTGATTTTGAATATCTTGGAATTTAATTATAAACAAATTGGAAGAAAAAGATATTAGCTCATTATTAACTTAAAAGGTTGGGCTAACGTCGAGTAAAACAATTTTTCCTCCTAGCAATGCGAATTTTAAATAATGTGCTTTCGTTTAACAGGCCAAATCTGATGTTAATATTTATTAAAAGTACTCTGTTAAAACACAAGAGTTTGGATACAGTTATTGCACATTCACACTGTCTTATTTGGGCGGTTTTGCTTATTTGCATATTATAACCGCTAATGAGGATGATTTATCATACAAAAATCTTAAATATAAATTATCTCATCAATAAATCAGCTCAATTAAGACAACCCTTGAATATAAAGTTTCCATAAGGAAAGTTAACATAAATTGAAATATTTTTCATATATTTCATATGTAAAATGTAAGCAAACAACAGCTGAGCTGTAAAGACAGGCACTAAAGAAGTAAGTGTTTGGTAAAATCGTTGTTATTATTAATTAAATCTGTAATTGATATTTGAAATGCATATAAATGATTTAATATATCAATTTAATATCTAGTTTTTTTGTGTGATATATTATTAAGTGAAGTTTATAAAAGTTTTATTAGCTGCATAAATGAGCTCATTATAATGTGAACGTTTCCTCATTAATATAAATAAGCAAGTGCCTTAATGAAACATTGCGAATATACTAAAAGTGAGTAAGGACAGAAGATTCAGTTAACTATAACTTTTCAAAAATTCTAATATTACATGGCAGAGCGTTCCAAAATTAAATCTTGAAATTATGAAAAGAAGAGATCTGTTAGAACCTATAGGCTGCAAGCAATTATAAAGGTCCTCTGGATATTTAGTAGTTTTCAATTTAAACAGAAATAACCTGATTCGAATATTTAAATACTGCTCAATGTCACAACCCAGAATAGTGTTCCTATGAATTGTTAGATGATCAAACCGCTTAAGGCCGTAGATGTATCTAGTACTACAGTTTACTACAATTCTCAATTCAGCAAGAGACTCGCAGTCAAGTTTAGTGTACACCAACGCGGCATAAGTAATTATAGAGATTATCAGTTGTTTGACCAATAAGCAACGCACATCGACTGGGGTATACATAGTAGATAAATTCAAATATCTAAAGCAAATAAATGATTTCCTAACGACATAACTGACATGATCAGAGGCATGTAAATTTGAATTAAAATAAAATACTAGAGATTTAACCGACTCACTATATTTAATAATTGAGTTTCCAATAGCCACCGGTGGCAATTTGTCTAAGTCTAATTGGGACCTAGTAAGCGGTAAAATAATGGTTTTATCTGCATTTAGCAGCATATTGTTTTCAATTGCCCAGCGATGTATGCATGTTAAATAAATATTAATCTTTGTTACAAGACCTTTTAAATGATCACTCCGACACGAATGATACATATGTGTATCATCAGCATATCCATGCAGCTTCAAGAATTGACATACAGAGAAAATGTCGTTAATATAGATCGAAAATAGCATGGGCCCCAGAATCGAGCCTTGAGGAATCCCAGAAATTTTTTAACAATAACTACTGACTGCGATCTCTCAGTTAAATAACTAAAAATAAATTAAGAAGCTAGTCTGGAGTAGTGAAACTTATTTATGAGCTTTATACAGAGCAAAGCATGATGAACTCGGTCAAATGCTTTTGAAAAATCGAGAAGACATAAGTAAGTAAACAAATCGCTACCATAACTCAATCTAATATCTTTAAGGACTTTCAGCATGCCAGACGCATAACTATGACCATTTCTGAAACTAGATTGCTAAGGAGATAGCGGGTGGAAAATATTTAGATGCTTGACAAGCATCTGGTCAGACATTATAATCTCACACACCTTAAAGAGAGAAGAAAGGATACTGTTAGTCAGAAACTGATGAAGCATAAACTTTTTTCTCTATTCAAATAACTTTAGCTTTTTTCCATGTCGCTGGAAAGATAGAGATAGTAATACAATAGTTAATAATATGAGTTAATGGTGATATAATAAATGGCAAAATAACCTTCATCAATTTAGGAGGACTTTTATCTAACCCAACAACATTGGACCTAATACTCATTAAACTCTTAAAAACAATATCTTCACTGACGCAGTAAAAGCTAAAGTTAAAGCCCTCATTAACGTCAATAATATCCATATCAACGTCAACAATATCCATATCAACGTCAACTATATTCATATTATGTTTTTCAAAAAATAAAAGTTTTACCGAAATTCAAAGAAAACAAATAAGGTCTCGGTCGTCTAAAATACCTTTTGCGCCTTCAAGAATGCTGTCATTGCTTAATACAGTTTGGTGTGATGAGAAAAAAATTTACAGTTGAAAAATTAAC